CTCTCTCTCTCTCTCTCTCTCTCTCTCTCTCTCTCTCTCTCTCTCTCTCTCTCTCTCTCTCTCTCTCGCGGATATTATTAATAACATTTAAAAATATATTTTACTAATTTACATTCTATTATAAAATATAATCCTCTGTAGGGCCCAAAAACCTATATAGAATACAGATAAAACGAAACACATTTATCAATCAAAGCAAAACAACATAGTAAGAAACATAGCTGTTTTGAGATTCAAAAGTCTTGAGTTTCGAATTAGGTTTAAACAAATCTTTCAAATAAAACAAATTTTATCGATAAAATAGTAAATAATTGAGACAAGACTTGAAGCAAAATCATTGATAAGATCTTAAAAACGACGTAATAAAAAAAATAATAAGTAGAAGTCTGATTAAAAAGAATGAAAGAATATGCTACTAATATCAAATATTTTTTAACACATATATATATATATATATATATATATATATATATAATTGTCTATATTTAATAAATAAGATTTATTTAATGGAAAGAAACATTTTCTTCCAATTAATTGCTATGTAAATTAATTGTTTATTTAAAAAAATACCTTCATAGTTGTATGCAAATAGGCGGTATGCTAGAATTTAAAAAATTCTCTTTTTAGTATATTTCTTCTTATAGCGCGATATTTCTTTCTATAGTTCTCAAAGTATCTTCCTCTTTTATTTTTTGCGCGAAATCCTATTGTCTTGTTAGTCGCGATAATAATTTTACTTTGGTCGCATGAAAATTCATGCATATCTCAGGATTAAAGATTAGCAGCTACCGTAACGTCTCGCTTCTAATCACTACTCTCTCGATGACCCTTATAAATTCATCAACGCCGCCTGAATGTTTTAACGATCGAGGTATCTTCCGTTCTGCATACCTGCAGAACGGGAGGTGCTTAATTATATCGTAACTCACTCGCGTGCAGCAAGTTTCTCTCGGTGTACCTTCCGCGCTTCATATTTTGCACGCAGAAAGCGCGTTTTCAAGCGGTATCTCTACGTCTTATTCAAATGCGGCGCTTCGATGCCACACAAGATGACTGGAATGACGCACAGGAGGTGCGTGTGTGTATATGCGTCCAATTTATTCAACGAGAGATATCTTAGATGGATTATTTACATATTGGTTTATCTTCAAAATGTCCAACGTTCGTGAATTTTCTGAACTTTGGCTTTCGAAATTCCTAATGTATCAATAATCGCGTATCTATAATACATATTTTAAGCTATTTGTATAATAAAACAAGTTTTACGAGAATTTAATGAAATTTACATTACATACACAGTGAGATGTATATACTTATCCAATACATATACACTTATGTACTTCTATGTATTATCTGTATACCGCTATTAGAGAAAAGCCGATGCCTAAATAAAACATTCATTAGAAAAATTAAAATAATAATAATAGTTTATTCGCATTTCTAACATTTTGTATATGTATTTATCTTAATTCCGTTTCAAGTTAACAATAATACTTAATGCACTATAGGTGAAATAAATGAGTAGGTACATAATTTTGTCTAATAAGTAGTAAATTGATGAGTGGATGGGTCAATGAAAATGCGGCACTCAGTGATGTAACTATCTCAAAATATTTCTTTTCGCGTGATTTTGCTTACGTTTCTATAAGACATAGATATACAGAATCATCTCAATGCGATTAATAGCATCACTCACCTCAGATTCATCCTGATCACAGCGGATCCACATCGTCGACGTGAAAATCCCGCGGAGATATACGACTGTGAGTCATCCTCCGATTTTCGTGAACGGTCCATGGGAGATCTGCTCCGTGACTCAGGCCATCCTGCGCAAAAAAAGGAAGAGCAAAGCTCATTATCAGGGCGAATGATATAGAGAGCGTAAGAAAAGGCGCCACGCAACAAATCACAGTGTCCCGTAACGGCATGCCAGCGCGCAAGGGGAACGAGGGGGGGAGGTAGAGCCGTTTGGAGCGGCTGATCGCCTTAACTTTCGAAGGTTTAAGCTCCCCCGTTCTTTTTCTCGTTCGAGCGTCGCTTTCTCGGCCAAGCTTTAACGCGTCATCCGTCGCCAAGCGGGTGCTTATTAGATTCGCTTCGAGTTCCTTTTAGCTTTACGACACGCTTGAAAACACTAACGGCTTAAAACATTGACGATCCCGCAATTACTTCGGTGCCGAATCTGCCTGCTGTTGGCAGACTGCGTGCGTAAATGTGCGCTGATAAATAAAAAAAATTCGGACAACTGCGATAAGCTTTCTTTTACGGCGATAATAGTTTTATCGAGTTGCGCATGGAAAGAACAACCACGGTTGGATTAACATGACATGCTTGGTTAAACAAGTTTTAGTTCAACTAAACAGAATTCTTGGTTATTATAATGAAATATTCTAGCAAACAAGCAAAACACATTTAGAGGTCTAACAACGGTCAAAGCTTAGTTATCGCTGATCCAGTTATAACATCCAAGTGTTTGTTTGTTATGACTACAAAGCATAATTAGATGAATATGATATGTTTGGTCAACAACTGATGGTTGAACTAGACAGAATTTCTCGTAATTACAATATAATCACATATTCTGATGTTCAATGCATAAGTAGGCAATATATGACAGATCCATCGATTCAAAAAGTGACGTAGCGCCTAGACGGACGACTTACAATCCGGAGATTCGAATTCCACCAGGAATTCCAAGTTCGAATTCCACCAGGAATAAAGAGGCGAGTTTTTCAAATACAATATAACGTCGAATCAATTAAATTTTAGGCAAAATAATCATATACTTACATCTTAAAAGTGACTTTCAGATAAACTTTCTAGTAAGTGAATATAACTTTGTTTAGTTTGGTTAAAGTAACCAAACTTGCCTGGTTACTTGTAACCAAACGCTTGTAACCAAATTTGTCTGATTATCAAAATTAACCAAAAATAATTTGTGTTTATATCTCACCAAATAATCTGTTTGACGTATTTTAAATTCTGATTAATTTAACCAATTTTTTTCAAAAAATATAATCTCATCCTTAGCGGAATCTTCTCATGTTATAGCCTCGAGATAATTCTTCGAAAACTAAAAGAAAAATATTCTAACATCTAAAAAAAGAACTTTAATTGTAAGATGCTATTTCCTGTAATCTCATATTCTAAGCACAAACTTGTACTTCCAATAAAGAAGAATAATATTGTGCTTGAATTTTAATTTCGCTTTTAGAAGAATTTTCTTGAGGCTACATATAAGAGGATTCCATTAAGGATAAGATTATGTTTTTTTAGATATGCAAAAATTTTATCGGAACTTGTAAATCTGCAATTGACGACACAGTCCTTAACAATTCTCGCAACTCGCGAAAGCGAAAGCATTCGGATACTTCCGAGTTTATTGGGACGCTATAGGAAAAGTCGCGATAACACTTGCATCTTACGAAAAGACATTCGTGGAAAAATCGGTCGTACGGTCAGATAAAAGTTGTAAAGGCAATCGTAATTTACGGCGCCGATATATTGAGTTGCTATCCGGTGGGCATAAAGAAGCGTCTATGTTCCCGCGGTTTTCCGGTCGCGAAAGAGCGCGCGCGTTCCGTTGTGTGAACAGCTGCGAAGAATGCGCGTAATGCGCGCCACGCGAAAGAAAAGCACGGCTCTACGATAAACTAGAGGAAGATCTACGATAAATTAGTCCCAGACCTCCTGCATCACATGATCCCGAGTCTTCGACTCTTTGTTTTTCAGAGCTTTTAGAGGTGTGAGCGTATTTCGAAGATCGTGCAAGTAAAATTGATACGAAGATTATACCGCTTATTGAAAAAGAAAATAGCGAGATGATATGTTGTATACATTCTTGTCGAATATTTATCACCAAATATAGAAAAAAGTAGAAAGTGTCCTTCCAGCAAAAAGCACTCCTAGTATTAGTAAATTGTTTACCGACGGAGCCTTTGTAACATATAATGTGTCATAATAAACTAAATTTACTGTATTAAAAAAAATCTAACATTTTTTTATAAATTTTTGAAAATATCATGTGCGTACTAAAACCCTTTCTAAACTGTTTATCAATTAAAGTGGCTATAAATGTGACCAAAAACCAATCAGAAAACTCATAAGTCGCATTTTTAGACATTTTTGTAGTGTTACGTCCGACGTAACTTCTCTTTAGTTCGACCGAGTGCACCTTATGTTACCACCAGGAATGCAATAAATGCCCTGGATGGTCAAAGAACAATGGACTGATAATAAGGTGTCGAAATTTCACTATTGATTATTACTCACATATCGTGAGAAGCATCTTCCCCCTTCTACTAAAAGG